GGCGGGGCGTGGCGGGGTGGAGCGGGGCGGGGCGGGACGTGGTGAACGACTCCAGGGCAAGACTGTGACTCGTCGTTTTTCTCCCGTGCAAAGTCAGCCAACCTGTCTCCGCTCGGAATTCTCGGGACATGTGGTAACCTGCCGACGGCTCGCGCGGGTAGAGATGCTCGCCCGGCGCACTCTGTGCCGCTGCCGTTGGATGTCAACCCACACCCAACGTAAACACGTTAAAACTGAATACATAATTTTAACAACAGAGAGCCTCAAAATTATTTTTTTCTGCTGAGGAATAAACCTGTTCTTTAACTTAAATTGTCACCCAGATTTCAGATCATCATACAGAACGTGCGTCTGTCATCTGTCGTTCCGAAATTGCCACGTTCAGGGAATGCAAGGGCTCGTAGCGCCTGATAGGCACGCAACATCTTGCTCGTAGTGCGTGCGTGTGCTGCGGGTGGCCTACCCTACGTCTCGCAGGCGCCGAACGATCGAATGAATCTGAGAAACTGATATGTACCTCCTTCACGATCCCCAAGAGAAACGAGCAGTTCCAAATGCATAACGTCTACAGCAACTGTAGAACAAAGTGTTTGCCATTGCCACTTACAACTGTTGAACGTACCGTCCTGCACTTAGATTTGCAAGGCACAGCAGGCCCGGCCTCTGCCGAACGGAGTTGTCTGCGGAGCAAAGTGGAGCTGGCAACATTGGAAGGGCTGGCATGATTGTTTCTTGTAGTTCTGGGTCCATGATTTTTTTCTGTCGAGGACCCTTCCCCTGTGCCCCCCCCCCCTCCCCACGACACCACCAGGCTCCCTCTATTGCACGATGCGACGCTGTCCGCGAACGTCGTGGCTCCACCAGCGGCTCGTGAAGGTTCACTCCCCTTTAATTTAAGGCACCTTCAAGTGTATCAACTGGGGACCGAGGTCGCGCACTGCTGTGTACACCGGGCTTCCCGCTGGGGCGGAGGAGGTGGCCGGGGGCGCTCTAGTTATACGCGGCTGCCCTCCGCCCTATGCCCTCCGCCTAGAGACCCGCAACGAGTGAGCTACGCGAGCAACGCGCTGGAGCCGCGCGCTGCGAGCTATTTTGCTCGTAGGGCCGCGCGCCTCCTTGGCGGAGACAGCCTAGCTTTTCGGAGGCCCCCTGGCGCTGCTCGCGCTGCTCGTGCGAGCAAATTTGCTCGCAGGCCCGGCCCATTGCTACAGCATGCAGGTTCCCCTGCTCGCCGTCGCCTGCGCCTGCAGCGCCACCGCGCTCACAAGCCACGAGCTAAATAGCTCGCGCGAGCCGAGCAGAGCCGAGCAAGGAAATCGCGCGGTCCACGAGCAAAATAGCTCGCAGCGCGCGGCTCTAGCGCCTTGCTCGCGTAGCTCACTCGTTGCGGGTCTCTACCTCCGCCCCCTCCCCTCACCCCCATTCTTCCGCACCCAGAAAACGGTATCCCTGAAACAAGGCGGAATGCCTTGCATAAAGGGCTCTTTCGACCTTAAAAAATACAAGAAAACTTTCCTAGGCATAAGGAAAATGTCGTTAAAATAAAGTAAAAATGTCGTTCTATTACTGAAATTTCCTTAAAATAAAATATGGAAATTTCCTTGTATGTCTTTTTTCAAATGAATTTTCGTGGGTTGAAAGATACCATTTTCTGGGTGTGCCTGTTGACTCTCCTGTCGATCCCCTACCTCTCCTGGATAAAAAAAAAAATCGTTCCCGGGCTCCTGTGCCTCTTCCGCACCTTCCGCGCATCCTGCGGCCACTACTACTATGCCAGACGCATGGCTCGAGCCCGGCACGCGCACGGTGGGCGGCGCCGCGTCCTAGCTCCCCCCACCCCCTTCTCCG